TAAGCCCCCCCGCTCACTACAGTAGTTTATGTTGCAAAGTACACAAGGACCTAACGCCTAAACTGAACCTCAGACACTGCTGTCTGTGGTGGCGGATCACCAGCTGGACACAAAGGGGGTAGTTTTCTAAATTAGGGTACCTTTTAGAGGCAATTGTTGGGGACCTGACAATGGACCCTACTTTAGAGAACTACCCAAAGGTTCCCACAACCGCCGCGGCTGAAAAGACCCGCCAACTGGCGCCGTAGACTGCTCAAATAGCGACTGGAGGCCAAATGCTAGCCGAATGTGAAGAAGGATTTCAGGGCTTAGTGCATAGGGTTGAGGGTCGAACGGTTTAGGGTCCAGGGGAGCTGCTAGCCACTTCGTTGTCTGTGGTAACACGGTTCCCGCACTAGACACTCCACCCCCAGAACAGATGCAGTCGGAGAGAGACATGGCATCAGGGACCGTTTGGGGATGAGGACCTTAGGGTTCGTAAAGTAGGTCGAGTTTTACGGATTCTGAGATCTAGCGCTTTGATTTGTTAAGCTCTAGGCTTCCCTAAACCCTGAACCAGACCCTAAACCCAAGCGTCAGGATTCCCGACCCCATCTTAGTGCCAAGCAACCGTGCCTCAACCCTGAAGACTGATTTTCGGAATCCCAGAACCAATACGAGGCATTCTGTCATATAGGGACGTTAGAATTTGTAAAATTCATTTATATTTGGAATAGGGTTTTGGGGAGGTTATACTCTAGTTAGAAAGCGGAAATCCAAGGAATCGTCAGTATTCCGACCTCACTCTTCACCTCAACCCTTCCATCCACCAAGATCCTGAATCATGACTGTTGTAAGGGCTGGGCCTTGTGAATTACCAGGGCTTTGTAAGGGTTTATCTGCAAGGGATCCGGGATTGGTTTAGCGTTTAGGGTTTAGGGTCCAACAGAAATCGTTCTTGAGACTGTAGCTGCAAGGGGATGGGGCTGTTTAATGGTTCAGCGGGAAAGGTGTTTGATATTTTGGTGCTTTGCAGTCCAGCGTTTGGGGTGAGGAGGGAGAGTGGTGCCAGGATGCAAGTGATAAACACGTCCATGTTCCCAGCATCCTTCTGCGGCCTAAAACCCCAAACCCCAAAATGTCCTAGGCCCTAAACCCTAAACCCGAAACCTTAGTCCAGGCATGCAAGCTCCAAATCGTCCGAGGAAGCTGCGGACGGCGGCCCAGCGCTGGACCGCTGCAGCCTGCTCGTGTGGGGTACTTAGCTTAACGGCCGACGTTCTTGTTCTCAAACCTGGACACGGTTTTGGGTTTGGTTTAGGGTTTCAGATTCCACGTGCTGGAACAGAGAATGGAAAGCATCTACAACCTGAACCTCGATGTCGATGACCCATACGCTGCTGCAGACCCTGATTGACACCCCCATCCTGTTGTTCAGCGCTCATTATCATGCCAGGTGAACTGACTTTGAGGCTTCAAGGAGGAAAGCTCGTCAAGAATGATTTCATCTAGGGAATCTAGGGTTCAGGGTTTAGGGTTGAATCTGAGTCGTGAACCCCAAGCCGTCAAAACGAACTCCCTGCAACTCCTGGAGCGAGATCAACCCTAAGCTGAACCTTGATCACTTTAAACTGTAAACCTGCAGAACGTAAAAACCAAACCTCTAGCCTCGAACCCCTCTGTGTACGTCTTCTGACCCAAACGAGAATCAAAAACACGGAACCTAATTACCCCCACCCCCTCACACACACACACACGCACACACAAGACACACACACACACCCAAACCCAAACACAATGTACACACACACACAAGACTAACACCCACAAGCAGAGACAGATTGAAACAACGACACTTCCTCGCTGACTTGCTGTTGCCTCGGGGGTTGCAGCCCATGAAAGCTTCGGACCTGCAAGGAGAGGGGGGCTCTGATTCCGAGGAGGCGAGGCTTAGAGGGTTGAGGCAGCTACGAGAGAGCTTGCCCCAGAAGCCCCGAATCCTAAACTTCAAGTCCCAAACCCGAAACACAACCTTGCGATGACGGCCGAGTTCCGAACGGCTTTGTAGCTCGGAAGCGGGCTTTTCAGCACCTCGCAGCGGTGCGGAGAAAAGGATGCTTCATGGATCCTGATGTTCGTGAGGCATCAGAAAACGAAGGGTGGGTAAGGTTTCAGGATTCTGGTTTCGAGATGCTTAAGTCTGAAGTGTCAGGTTGCATGCAGGTTTTAAAACAGAAGCAGGATGTTGTGCGTGTTTACGTTTGGTTTGGCCAAGTCCAATGCCAGTAAACACTTTCACCGGTCCGTTCTACTGGGTGTACAGAAACACACCCACCAGGTTCTTGGGGCTGCAAACTCGACCCTCAGCATCCATCGAATGGGCAACAGAAACGTATTTCTCTCATATCAATCCCCAGGCCAGCAGGAAAACAGTGAGTCGGGCAGAGGGCTTTGGGGGTTCAAGTTTGGGAGGTTGGGTTCCTGGCACAAGTTGCATCCTGAACCTCAGGACTCGCGGGAAGCAAGCGCTGACCCGGGGCGGGTACTGGCCTCCTTAAGGGCTAAGGCTCCGGGAATATGTTGAACTTCCTTTTGCAAGGGTAAACATTTGCCCAACGAAGTCAATGAGGTGCAGGATTTCACAAGCAAGTTGGCAGTAGGTCCTGCATGACCCTGCCACAGTTCTTCCTGTGATATTTCGGAGTTGTCAGGTCTTACGATCTGCCTTTTAGGGTATAAGGGCTCATCTGCCCTGTAGCCCTTAATTTTGGGCGCTCTAGTTTGTTGTTTTAGGGTTCAGAATGGTTCAGGGCTTATTGTAAGTTCAGAATCTAGGGGGCAGGGCGTGCAAGCTCTTCGATCCCGAAGCCCTGCACGCAGGCCTTTGGCACAGTCCTTGAGCTCGGATCCCTTCCGCCGGATAGAAGACGCAAGGGCTCAGAGGGGATTTGAGAGTTCAGGGGTCCAGAAATTTAGTTTGTAAGGGTCCAAGTAGCCCTTATTTATGGATTTCGGTACCCAAATTGGCTTGGCCCCAAAGTCTTATCATGGGGAGTACTTGCACCCTGAGGGTATTGTAGACCCCTGATTACTGATTAACGGGCCAGCCCAATTAAACCTAATCTGAATCATCTCCCTAAACCCGACTGAAGACCTCGCTTTCTGTTGACCACCCCTTCCCGCCGTAAAGACCGTCCTGATCGCCCAGATGATGTCGTTTAAAGACGGCTGGTTTCTAATTCAGGGCGCTTTGCGCATCTGAAACCCTGCACGAACACAGGCAGAGCTATGAGACTGGGTACAATGTTGTCACTGGGAGATGGAGGTAATGCCTGTCTTTCAATGGCACTTCGTAGTTGCGACCGCAAGTGCGAATGCAGTTCCACTAGGGCAAAGATGGAACCCGTCGCTTAACGTTGAATCATCGATGAACAGCCAGATCAACATCGACAAAAAGACAATGCTTTTGGCGGCACCTTATCTCCAAAACTTCGATTAGCGTGGTTTAGCGGTTTCTTCTCCATGTCGCGTCTCCATCTCTACAGTCAACCGGTGAGCTACGGAGGTTCTCAAAGTAGAGGGTCATGATTCTGTAGGAAACGCCTGCTTCCTCTGCAGGCTTGGGGCCTCTGGGAGTCGCCATGTAAGGCATGGAGGGCTTTCAAGGTGGTTCGGGTTTAAGGAACTGGAGTCACAGCTAAGATTAAGGTGTAGAAGTTATGGGTTCTTACCGTTCACGGCGTAGGACGGGAGCAAAGAGCTTTCAAACTGGATTTGAACCTTACATCCTCACACCTAGACTTAGCCCTGAAACTTTAGCCCACAACTCTACCTCTCTACTAACTCAGGACTTTGACTATAACTCCAACGCCTCAACCATTCAACCTTGGCCGTGGAGTTCACAGGCCAGGAACGCTTGAAGACTTCTGTTGAAAGGCTTTGTATGAACACGACAAGGTTTAGGGTCTATACTTTCAACTATACTGCTCCAAGACAGAACCATGCTCTTAGGACCACCCATCCCCAATTGGATAACTTTACGACTTGCCCCAGCATCCCGCCCAGAGTAATAATTCAGAGCTTATGCTGAACCCATATACAACACTTCGGAACCCGCACATTTTGGACCCACTGAAGGGAGGCCGGCCTGACAAAGTAGTTCCCTCGACATAGAGGTCGCTCCAAATCCTCGCAAGTTGTTAGCTGAACCCCGGCCCTGAAACTCAATCAGTTCAGGGCTTGGGTTCAGGGTTTAGGGTTTAAGATTTATAAGTCTAGGGTTATAGTATAGGTTACGGCAGTGGGGACGTTCGCTTTGAACCCAGACCATCGACGAGCCCCTCACCCAAAACGCTGTCAGGCTTGAGACCTTCCAACATGTCTGCTCTATCCTTCGCTAGGGCCTGCGGATCACAAGCTACACGGTAACCCTTGCTGCCCTCGATGCGGCAGCCCAACACAGCTGTAGTCGGCCGAGCCCACATCCTCCAGCCACGCTGTGGTAGCTCTTCAAAACTGAACAATGGCCTCGATGCTGTAGCCCAGCACTGCAGGGAAATCCACAAACAACGTCAGTATGTGCCTTGCCGGTCCAGCAGGTGCAACTGAACTGACGACTTGTGCAATGCTTTGGGACATCGCAGGAGCTCAAGGAGGAAATCGCCGGGAAAATGCCGCATCTGTCAAAGCTATCACGCTCGCAAGCTTGCTCAAGCAGTCATGCTCCTGCAGAACTTCCAGGCGAAGAACCAACCGAGCGTATTTGTACCCAAGCAGGGGTGGAAAGTAGACAATCATGGAGCGAATGTGTTGGTTACAAAAAAACTGCTGCAGAAGAAAGAGTTTCTGCGAAAGGTTGTTCTGAATGCTGCATCCCAGAACTTGAGGAAAGCAGGCAACTACTTTGGCCACCTCCTCTCGGCTTAGCCCAACATCTTCAAACCAGGTCACTGTAGGCTTCAAATTGCGGTCGATGCTGAGTCCCAACACCTGAGCATAGCAAGCAATAACTTTGGCCACCTCCTCTCGGCTCAGTCCAACATCTTGAAGATAGGCCACTGTAGGCTTCAATTTACGTTCGATGCTGCAGCCCAACACTGAAGGATTTCCACCAATGGCTTTGGCTACCTGTTTTTGGCTCAGCCCAACATCCTCAAGCCATGCAGCTGTGGGTTTCAGGTTGGCCTCAATACTTAGGCCCAACACATGAGCATGGCAAGCAATGACTTTGGCCACCTCCTCTCGGCTCAGCCCAACATCCTCAAGCCATGCAGCTGTCGGTTTCAGGTTGGCCTTAATGCTGCAGCCCAAAACTTGAGGAAAGCAGGCAACGACTTTGGCCACCTCCTCTCGGCGAAGCCCAACATCTTCAAGCCAGGCCACTGTAGGCTTCAAATTGCGGTCGATGCTGAGAGCCAAGACTTTAGGATAGCCAGCAACGACTTTGGCCACCTGTTGTCGGCTGAGCCCAACATCCGCAAGCCAGGCCACTGCAGGCCTGAGGCGGCTGTCGATGTTTACACCCCAGATTCCTGGAAACCTGCAAGCCAAAGCCTCAATTCTGGAGGTTGAAATCTGCAATTCCCATTTCAAAAACTCTTGCATTTTGTGCCTTTTCGTCTCAACATGTTTGGTAAGCACCGCCTCTCGCGCAAAGGTGGACGCTTTAAGGAAATCCCGCTTTGGTTGGGCGATCTCAAAGCTGCTGAGACGCTCGAACACGTCCTCTTGTAGCAGATGTTCAAACCTCCGGAGAAGGGCCCGTATGGTTTGCTGCACAACTTTCATCAATGACCGCTCGTGCCCTGCTCGCCACACATCGACGATCTCTTGTGAAGCGTGTTTTGTCATGCTCATACCCCGATTCCAATGCCCGATTCGCAGGACACACGAGCCCGGAGGTGCATAGTGAAGCAGAGCTGCCGTCTTGCGCTCATCCTGTTTTTGCCCTTGCAGCTCAGAATGACGAAAGCAACCGTCGTACTCGACGAAGAGAGCTGCATGCTTCTTCTTAAACACGCCAAATGCAGTTATGTCCGGGCAAAGCCATCGCGACCCCCACATGTCCGTTTGTTTTACCGGGAAGTCCCGGAAGAGCTCACCGATGGCCTCCTGCGGCATCAGAAGCTCCACCAGGCGGGACAACAGCTCCACCTCCGCATAGCTCCGGTGCACGGTCCTGGGTCGGCCCTTCCTCCACCAGAGAGGAGGCGCGCTGCAAAGAAGACGCGGTTTGGGCAAATGACGCCGTGGAGCTGGCAGAGCAACAAGAACCCGGAGTAGTGCCGCCATCGCCAACTAGAGCGTCCCTTTGCAACTCTGATCGGCTTCAGTGCGGAGACGGACAGAAAGACTACAAAGACATGAAGCGCACCCTGCAGGTGCCTGACAGCCACATTCTATGGCGACTAGCAATACTCGGAACCAATGCACAACCTCTTTTGGGTGTAGTTACACAGGCCCTGCACGGGATTGCCAAGAAATCCGCCCAACCCCTAAACCCTTCAGCTCCGATACGGGACGGATCAGTGTTGGGCATTGCGCATAGACGGTATGGAGTTTATACGGCCGAAGGTCTAATTCAACATCTTCAGCCCTCAGCATCCCAAAAGGCCAGCTTAGAATTAAGGGATCTCTGCGCCTACCGGTCCTACCCTTCCTCATATGACCTTTATCCACACGCCATCAACGATCTCAACAGTAGAACCAATAACTATCCCAGCATTGTCAGGGGAAATGTCAGCCCGGAGTTGTCCCGACCCCCTTTTGTGGGACTGACAACTGGGACAGCCCTGAGGCAACGCGCTCCAGGAACTCGTCATGACCATGAAGTCCAAGGAAAAGCCTCCGATTTCCGGTTTCGGGGCTTAGGGAGTTCGAGCTGAGAGCTTTCGGGGTTGAGGGTCTGAAGTAAGCACACTCCCCAACTTCAAAGCCAAGTCCTTAGACTGAAACTATAATCCACCAACTTGTAATCCCTAAGTCGCAAAAAATCTGAAAGGCCTAGCCCTAAAATCCTCAGCCCTGTTAATGCTCTCATCTTCGGAACTCAACCCGCGAATCCCCAGATGAGGCCCGTTTTGGGCCGCACCCCCCATCCAGTGTCCGACCCGATAAGTCAAGCTTCAGTACAGAGAAAGCACAAAACCCCTCATCATGAATCAACGAACTTTGAGCAAACATCTTTAGCGCGAGGTAGGGGGTATGGCTTTAGGCACTTCTTTCAGGGGAGTTGAAATCTCTGGGCATTTCGACTGCGAGCACAGCTTTCCTGTCTCGACTGGACTGGCCGCTGAAGGCACCTCGTCGAACAAAAACAGCCCGACAACCCTTACAATCTACCCATCAGGCCCCATAGTAGTTCCTTTCGGGGGCTCATATTTAAAATCCTACAAGGTAGTCCCAAAAAGGAACCGCTATGGGGGCCTATGGGTAGAACCAAACCCTGGCACCTCAGCCTTCTGCCCTCAAACCATGACTCCAAACCCAAGCCCAAAAACCACGAACCCCACACCTACACACTGAAATCGTCTTCAACATCACACCCCAGAACCCAAACCACAAAGCTCGAAACCCTAGAACCCTCTAAGCCCAGAGCAGTAAAGACCTAAAGATCTCAAGTAACCCCTAGACCCGGAGCATGAATCCTAAAGCCCTAAACCCCAACCCTCAAAACCCAATGAGCACTGTGTCCGAACCACAACTCCGACAGTCGTTGAACCGTAAAGTTCAAACCCCGAACCCTCAAAACCACGGAACACAACTCTAGCCCCTACACACCCAAAATCCAAAAGGATCGGAAGCTGAAACTGAAGATCAACAGCTCAGAACCTAGAAACCTGAACAACAACCTCATATTAAGCCTGACAAGCCCATAATCACCATCAAAACGTACAAAACCGAAACTGCAAACCCCAGGCCCGTAAATTCTGAAACCTCCCCAATTCCACAATTGAAGACCAAACAACCCTGGCTGAGTTCAATCCAAACGGGAAACCTTAAACCCTATAAACCCAAAGCACAAACCCTTAACTCTATCACTTCTAAATCATAAACCCCAAACTTCTTTTCGGACCCCCTCGCAGTAGCACTCGTTGACCCTTCATGGATCTCCGAAGGGATCCTCAAAGAAACCCTAAAGAAGAAGGCGGAAAACCTACCCAGAGCCAAGATCTCGGCTTGGCCGAGGAGTCGACGAATCCGAGACCAGGGTGCTGCCTGTCTTCTTTCGGGGGCTCCTTTTACAGGGACTTCTTTTTGGGGGCTCTCTTATGGGTAGGGTCCAGGGTCTGGGGGTTTGGGGGCTGAAGGACTTAAGGTGTGTAGGCTCCTGAGTTGTCTTGATTTCTTATCGTTCTCATTGTTCATCTGGCTACTACTATTGCTGCTGATATTGTGTGAGGCGGGGGTGATAATTACCAAAACGCACATTCCAAATGCTCTTTTGTCGCGCATGATGGCTCATTAATATTGCTTCTGATGGGTTTCGAGTTCTGGGTTTGGGGTTGGTTACAGCACTGCTGGAAGCCTTGACGGTAAGTATCGAGTCGATGTCGTTTGCAGTCTTGTTCGTGTATGTTTATGCCTGCTTCCATTCTCTGTCATTCTGTCTTTCTGGCTGGCTGCCACTGCTGTTCATGACTGTACTATCTCCATGTTCAACATTGGTGTGAGCTACTTAGTTTTACCATGGGTGCGTACGTAGACACAACTAGGGTTACAATTCTTGATGTTAGCAGTATTTCCAGCCAGCAAAGTGTCGCTGCAAGTACCATTACTATGCTTATTGCTGCAACTGGTGCTCGAACTTCTCTTACAAACATGGGGGCCTGATGTTGCTGCTGCAGAATACGATCCTTCTCAGACATGCTGCCTGTATCTTTTAAACTTACAAATACCAGCGGCAACTTGTAGCTTGTCGGGATCAAATGGAGTTAGGGGCTGTGTCTGGTTCAGGGCTAAGCATCAAAGCTGCTTAGGGTTGAGGGAGGATTTGGTCTTTCAGTTTGGCTGTGGGCTCAAAAACGGTCCAGGATGTGTGCTCGAATATGTACCATGCAGTCATGAAGTTCCTCTTGGTGGGTGCTGAATGTGATTTCATTCGACCTCAGAGCACAGGCGGGCTGAACCCCGACAACCCAAAGCCTCACTAACTGTCGCTGTAGACACCCGGAACTCTACACACAACCTCCTAAATGCAGCCTTCATGTTGAAGATCCTGCAGGGATGGGTGCTTCGGAGTCGTGATTGCAGATTTCCCATCGACAGTCTGTCTTGAAGACAGGCCTCATGATGCAGGATTTAGGATCTAGCAGGGAAGTGCAACGAGACATGGTATGGCCATGTTGGGCGTCCTCCATCCCAGACTGGCACCTTAAGTGAGAACCCGACCTAGTTCCAGAGAGTGTTCAGAGTATTTAACCCTGATGCACCTTATCAGGGTCCCGTTTTGGGGATCCCCTACAAAGCTTCTGACATACAGCCCCAAGGGGTCCCCCCTTAGCCCAAAGTCAAGAACCCGGTCGTTCAGGGGCCCAGGCAGAAGCAGAACGGCGATCAGAGCCTTCGCTTGACACGCACGCTCGAAACACAAGCCGAACTGCGCCGCTAGGCTTTCTGGCGTTATAGGTGGTTATGCTTCGCGTTACTGGGTTAAATGTCAAGGGGTTCCGATCCAAGCCGCACACGCTTCTCACTGAGGAACCACGGGAAAGCCTGAAAACCAATCAAGCTCGGACAAAAAACAACACAAAACCGTTAGAACCTGGGCATCAAGCCCTTTTCATCCCTGTCACAAGGACATACAAGGACGGCGAAGGATAAGAAACCCGGCAAACAACATGCTAAACCCAAATGGTAGCACCCTTAACGGAACCGTGAAGCCGAAGAAAGGCCAGAAAGGCCTGGTCGTTGTATTCTTGGGTCTGCTGGTAGAGCCGCAGCGTCCTCTTCTGGATGTTTTGCTTATTTCGGTTTTGGATGTTTTCTTGTTTATTATATTTCGGTTTTGGATGTTTTTTTTGTTTTGTTTTTTTCGCTTCTGGATGTTTTGCTTATTTCGGTTCTGGATGTTGTTATTTTTAAAAATTCGGTTCTGGATGTTGTTGTTCTGTTAATGTCGGTTCTGGGTGTTTTGTTTATTTCGGTTCTGGATGATCTTTTTATTTCGGTTCTGGGTGATTTTTTTTATTTCGGTTCTGGATGTTGTTTATTTTATTGTCGGCTGCGGTTTTCATGCAATGCCCAAGGTTCACTCCAAAACATGAAGCCTAAGTATCTCCAAGAACTTCGTCGCAGGTGGCCCTCAACCCTAAACTGTAGGCTTAGGGCTTACCCATAGGCCCCATAGTAGTTCCTTTTTGGGGTTCACATTTAGAATCCTATAAGGTAGTCCCAAAAAGGAACCACGATGGGACCTATGGGTATGGTTCAGTGAGACATGGGATCCCGGAACCGGATCCTGAACCTCCAACCCACAACACCCAGCACAGGAAGCGTGCAGTGCCTTCGGAGCACCCGTCTCAAGGAAGCCGCGCGGCCTGCTGAAAGGCGACATGGGGTCTCTCTTTAGCACAAGGCCCAAAATAGGAGAGACCAAAATATATGAGGCCAAAAAGTTGAAAGTTCTCCCATTGGCTATCTAAGATAGAGCTTATACCCAAAAAATCCTAAGTAACCAATATGGGGATACTTGCCCAAACCATAATAGCAGCTCCTACTGTAGAAACCCTACTTCCCACAATGTAGATGCTCAGACACCTTTGCGATAGGGATCACAAGGTTCGTCGGTTTTGAACACCTTTTCTGTCTGCCCCACGGTTTTAGGACTTTGGACTTTGGCTCGGAATTCGGGTTGACGGCTCTGGGATACTTTCTGAAGGACAGGTTTGAATCTCTCTAATTGAAGGGGAGGCCCCTTCTGTATACCCAACCTTCTTGCAACTCATCGAATACCCTTATATGCTATAGCAACTTTGATGTGGCGATTGATCAAAACTATGGGGCCCCTTTTTGGCCCCTCAACTATAAGGAATATACTATGATACAGACCCCAAAAGACCCCATAATTTTGATCAACCTCCATGTAGAATCCCGGTTTCTACCCGAACTCGTCCACCGGCCTATAAAGGTCCCGGAGCACACGAAGGGGAAGTACTGCGGGCCAGACTCCACTGTGCCCTGCTTTTGCTGAGCGGCTGCTACAGGGTTCAAGGTTTCACGTTTGTAGCTGCACAAGCGTTTTCTGTACATTGTTACGAAACACATTCAGAGAAGCCTTAACGAGATGTGGTCTTTCGTGCCATTCTTGGTAGGTGGCTGGCAAGAATGGGGTGCCCTCGGCTAAGCCTACGTCCAGCCAAAAGTCCGCTTTCTGTGGTGCCGAAGTGAAGTCCTAGATTCAAGTGAGGCTTCTGCCAAAAGAGATCCGATCCCAGTGCCCAGTCACCGTGATTTACGCAACATATCTCCACATGTATTCGGTCCCTGTGTCTCATGTTCGGATATAAGGAGGCATTGGGCTCTGAAAGCCCTCACATTGCCTACGCGAGACTCGCAAATTTAATGACGAATCACGAACTCGGAATTATGAAGACCCAGCGTGCACTTTCATGACGAAACTCAGAATTATGACGACCCAGAGTGCACTGTCACATGGGAGACTACGAGGTACCTTTGGAGAGTGTAGGTTTCTTGGTATAGGGGCATTCGCCATGAGAGCATGGCTTTGGGGCCTATTAAACAATAAGGAGCCCCAGGATAGAATTGGTAATCATCTAGGCCCCTATATGAATTGGGGCTCAAGGGGGTACGGCTTTAGCTCTTTCAAGGTTATCTAGGAATTGCAGACCCCCAAAACCCACTCTAACTCTTATAAGCCCTTCCCCGCCCAAGCCTAAAAGTGAAATTGTAGACCCCATCAAAGGATGCCCAAAAAGCCTTGAAGAACCTAGCGAAGGAGTACTAAAACCCATGCATGGCAACTCGAATTTTCACAGCTCCCTAAACCCTAAACCCTCCCACACCGTGACGGCCTTGCGGCCGCTTCGCCGCGGCTTCGGCGCTTGAGAGGGTGAGCTGTAGTGGGCCAGCCTGTGGGCTTGGGGCCTAGGCCTCTACGTAGGGCTTTAAAGCTTTGTGGTTTGGGGTTTAGGGGTTTGAGGGTTTTGGGGGTTTAGATGAGGGTTCGACTTTTTCGGGGATTTATAAGAAAATCAGGGGCTTTAGGGTGCTAGTCTTCTTGAGGGTTGTAGAGGTGAGCCTCAAGAGTCCTTGGCAAGGGATGCCTGGCAACTGGGAAGAGATGTAGGAAAGCCTTAAGACGGTGCCTTTCCGAAATCCCAAACACAAGAGGGCGCATGTGAAGCAAAATTTAGGAACCCTCACGCAACACGTCTGGGTGCTGCGCCATTGAGCACATACATCGCTGCCTGCGCTCGGCCACACAATCCGAAAGCCCGAGCGTAGTGTTATGCTGCAAAGGCATCAACACCAGTACCATGCGAACATATTTCTTCCATCAAGCCCAATCTCAGGAGTTGTCGTGTGTGAAAAGGATCCGGTATAACGGTATAATCTTGATTGGCACGGATTCCGGATGCATGCTCGACCTCTATGCCCCGACTCCAGAACAGGCGATCCATCAGTGAAACTGCCAAACCTTGAATCTTGAAAAACGAACTATTCGTGGCGTTTCTCCTGTTTTCGGCGGTATGAAACAAAAACAAGCGACAACCCCAGGTAAGAGTAGCTGCAGCCTCCGTAACCCGGAGCACCTAACACGAAATTCCACCCTAAACTTTGCGCCAATCCTAACCCACATGAACCGACATGGCAAAAGCGACCTTACGCCAAAACCCACGAAATCCCGAACCCTCACACTCAAAGTTCTAAAGCCCCAAACCCTTAACACAGGGGCCTTACTGATTACAGGGTTTGTGGTAAATTATACTAGAGTTACAATAAGGAGCCCTCACAATAGTATTGGCAATCATTTATTATGCCACTGTATTAACCGTAAACCCTGAACTGTCCTGCCATCGGTCCGTGCTTGCCGGGATATTGCCAGTCGCCACTGTGGCCAGCCTTGGTGTGTGTGTGTGTGCCAAAACACAATAATACGACTGCACCACTAATTTATACTTCCACTGTAATACTATTGTAGTAGTGTCGTAGTAATGCAATATGACCATCCCAGAACCCCGGATCAAGTCGCCGCGTCGAAGGATGACTGTCCTGCGAAATATGTCTCAGGGTGCTGTCAGACTCGTTGCGAGGGCAAGTGCAAACCCTAAACCCTAAACCGTGGAACTCGGAGCAGCATTGCAACACCTCTTTTCATCTGCCAGCGAATAAACAGAATCAGAAACATCTAAAAGTCCATAATGCTGTGGCTTCTTCGAAGTTGAAATTGCCCACGCACCCCGCGAGCTCAAACTCCAGTGCCCCAGGCGGTGACCCAACACGAACATGCATCCTAAGTCTCAAACCCTCCAGATGTTGCAGGAATGTGGCGTTGGAGGCTGTGCCACAAAAGATGACTCTGAATGGTAATATCTTGGCCTTGAGCCCCGAAGACCATGCTCCTAACCCCTATATACCCTAAAGCGATCTGGAAAACCTGGGCCTATAAGGGGCTCTGCACACCCTACCTGGCGCTTAGGGCTCAGAACTCCAAATTGAGATGATCAAGGACAGCTCCACATGCAGGATCTGGGCCTAAACCGCTGGAGCAACTGAAATCCGTGCCCCACCGGGGGCAGTGCGCGGTTCAGGAGGTTTACAGGGCCTGCGCCCTTTGCACAAACACTCCACAAGCTGGGATCCGATGTACCACAGGGAGGGTTTACTTAGAGGAAGAGAAGACTTAAAGTAAGTAGAGGCTATAAGTACCTCAATCAGGGCTATGAGTAGATATAACAAAACTTAATTATCTTACTTCTGACCCTACTTACTAAGTCCCAAATATCCTCCAAGTAGGGTTTTCGGGTTAATATAGGAGCCTTCATAATTAGAAGAGGGCTTTGGGGGATAATCTACGGACTGTATTTTTTATAAGGAACCCCCCAAAAACGGTATAGGTAACTATGAAGGCCCCTTTGTTTCGGTGCTTCGGCTTCGGAGGGTGGGTTTATAAGCGTTATAGGTCTCATAACCCACTGCAACCCAGGGTTTCTCTGGGGGTCCTTGTTTTAGCCTTACATGGCTACCCATAGGCCCCATAATGGTTCCTTTTTGGGACTACCTTATAATAAATATGAACCCCAAAAAGGAACTACTATGGGGCCCATGGGTAGTCTACCAAAAGGCGGACTCTTGTAGCTTCAGGTAGAGTAATGAATGTGTTGTAGGCTTAAGGGCTTAGGATTCGAAACGTGTGCCATTTGTGGTACGTCCCGCCGCAAATCACCAGGAAGGACGGCTGCATAACGAGACTAGGACAAGTATATACCCCCAAACCTCTAAGCCCCAACACACGAGTTTTCAAAACCTCTAAACCCTCAACCCCTAAACCCTAGAACCTCTATTATGCTGTTTCATAACCTTCGGGGTTGACATGTGGTACTCCAGGACCCAGCAAAACTGCCAGTTCTCAGTAGGGCTTCTGCTGAGGGGCTTAAGGTTTTGGGTTTATATAGTATGATATAATAACCCTAAACCCTAAACCCTAAACCCTAAACCCTAAACTTAAAGTTTAGGGGCTTAAGGCCTGGCGTTGATATAGGGCTCTAGGCTCCCAGCCCCACGGCTACAACTTTTTAGCGGGGTCCCAGAATTAGTGCCTTATCTTCCGGTAGAGAGCATCCTATTCAGCTTCGGGGTACATTACACTTCCTAGACCCTCAAGCTTTAAGAACCGGGATCTTCGAAGTTCTTGAAGAATATGGGTGCCTTAATAGTTAGAAGAGGGCTTGCAGGTATATTATACGATATTTATACTAAGAAGCCCCCTAAAAACCTATTCTAATGATTAAGGCTGCTACATTAAGGAAAGTTCCGCTCAACACCTGGGAGTCCGTACTGAGAGCCAGCGGAATCACGCCAGGCTTCAGGTGCGGGAAATGCTACCTTCGAACCCTCGTAGACGTGATGGTTCACATCTGTCGCACATGGTCGATGGTTGTACGTGAAGGATCAAGGGGTTTAGTAAGTAGGGTTATAAGTAAGGTGGCTATAGTTATATCTACATATAACCCTAACTACAGCACTTATAACACTACTTACAAAGAGGGTTTTTCATAAAAAAAACGTCTTCATATCTACATATAACCCTAACTACCGCACCTATAACCCTACTTACTAAGTCAAATGATCCTCAAAGTAATAATGCAAAGTCTCAGGGTCTCAAACCGCTGAAATCCAAAGGTCTCTGCACCATTCCATCAGCCCGCAAGCCCAAGACAAAGATCTAAAATAGGGGCCTTAATAATTAGAACAGGGTTCTGGGCCCTGCATAGTCTAATTATGAGAAGGACCCCCCCCAAAAAAAATAGTGTAGGAAACTATTTAGGCCCCTACAGTAAACACAGCACGGGAGGAG